ACCTTCCCAGGTGGCTCTGATGGCTGAGCTGGTATCTCCTGCTGTGGAGGAGGACTGATCTCTTCCATGGACTTCGGAGGATAACCTGAGGCTTCCCGCTGGGTTGCAGATGGTTCAACCTCTTTAAGGGGCAATGGTGGCTCAGCTGGGAACTTTTGCCTGACTGGAGAGGGTTCTACCTCCTTAGGGGAATCTGGAGTCTGAATTGTGGCCTCCTGCAGGACTGGAGGTTCAATCTTTTCAGGAGAATGCAGAGGTGGGGAAGGGAGATCAGGCTGGACTAGAGAAAAGTCTGCCCGCTCAGTGGGAATAGGAGGGTTGTCCTGCTGGACTGGAGAAGGTTCAACCTCCATAGTGACTGCTGTAGGTATGGTAAGCTCCAGATCCACATTTTTAACTGTGGTATTAGGCAAAGGTGAATTACTTCTGAATACTGGAGACAGATCTAGAGGTGAAAATACCATCTCATTACTCAATGGACTGAGCTGAGTTGGAGGCTGAGTTGTGGGCTCTTGATGGACTGGAGGAAGTTCATCATTTTCAGGGGTGTTTAGCTGCTGAATTATAATCTCTTGCTGGTCTTTCAAATGTTGAAACTGCTTAGGGGACATTAAGGACTGAGCTGGGACCCCCTGTTGGGTTAAAATTTCAACCTGATTAGTGAGATCTGGAGTCACTGTAACCATGTGATCCACAGGTTTAACAGTGACATTGTGCAATGTTGGAGGCTGAACTTGGTCATGACTTAGAGGAGAAACTGGTACCTCATGATGCTCTGGAGGTTGAGCTACAACATCATTAGGGAGCTGTGGAGTCAGAGCTGGGGCCTTGTGCTGGATTAGAGGAGAGTCAACCTCCTCAGGGGTCTGTGGATGCTCAGCTGCAGCCTCCTCCTGGGTTGGAGAGGGGTTCTCATCCTTAATAGGTTCTGGAGACTGAACTGAAGTCTCCTGTTGAATTGGCAAAGGTCCAACCTCTTCTAATGACTCTGGAAGCAGAGGTGGGCCCCCATGCTGGGTGGCGGAAGGTTCTACATCCCTAATGGGTCCTGAGAGCTGAGCTGTAGCCTCCTGGTGGATTGGAGAAGTTCCCATCTCTGCAGTAGGCTCTGTTGCTATGGTGAGCTGCACGTCTGGAGGCTTAACAGTGACATTGGGCAAATCTGAATGCTGAGCTTGATGGTGACCTGCAGGTAAAACTGTTACTTCGTGATGTTCTGGAGGCTGAGCTGGGGTCTCCTGCTGGGCTGGAGAAGATTGAAGCTCCGCAGAAGACTCAGAAGGCTGAGCTGGCTGCTCCTGCTCACTGGGGGAAAGTTCAGGCTCCATAGGAGGACCTGGAGGCTCAGTTGGGGTCTCCTCTTGTATAGCAGAAGGTTCCATCTCTTCTGGAGGCTGAGCTGGGGTCTCCTCCTGGGTCTGAGAAGGTTCAAGCTCCCCAGAAGATTCAGAAGGCTGAGCTGGCTGCTCCTGCTCACTGAGGGAAAGTTCAGGCTCCATAGGAGGACCTGGAGGCTCAGTTTGGGCCTCCTGTTGGGTTGCAGAAGTTTCTACCTCCTCTAGAGGCTGGGCTGGGGGCTCCTGCTGGGTTGAAGAAGGTTCCACCTCCTCAGGGAGCTGTGGAAGCCGCGCTGGGGCTTCTTGCTGGCGTGAAGAGGACAGGATCTCTTCAAAGGTCTCTGGATTTTGAGTTTCAGGCTCTAGATGGAATTGAGACAGTCCAACTTGCTCACCGGGCCCTGGAGGCTCATCTGAGTTCACCTGGAGGTCTGGAGGCAGGCTGCCGGGATACAGCATATCCATACTTGAATCTAAATACTCATCCTGCAAAGTTTGTTTCTGATGCTGAGGTTTTGATACAAATCGGTGTGGAATTCCCACAGCCTTAGCAAGGCTCCAATGCTGAGCTAAATCTTTCTTCTGGTTCCTGGGAGAAACTATAAACTCCATTGATTTTGAATCCTGACTGTCTAGAGGTGGAACAAGTATTTCATCTGCCTGATGATCTGCAGCCTGATCTAGCTCTGCAGTTTGAACCTTACTTTTGTGGTGACCAGGCTGAAGTAGCGTCTGGTTCTGATCCCAGCCGAGCATTGGATCCACCTGTGGGAGCCTTTCTTGCCGAGTCAGCTTGTCATTCAGATCCAGGTGTGCAGACGAGAAGTGCTCGGGCCCCGGGGGCAGCTCTCCATCTGAATCTGTGTCCAGGAATGGAACCAAATTCTCAGTCGATTCCTGGGGCGGAGCTGACCTCTTGGAGGAAGCAGAGGACCCCAGGTAATCAAAGCCCCCCACGTCTGCCGAGGGAGTAAGCGCATGGAGAGATTCCCATGGGAGATCGGAGGAGCCGGAAGACCAGGGCTCAGTCGGCCCCAGGGCGTTAGAAGTCAGCTGGAGCGGGTCCTTGACCCTCTCCAGAGGCTGAGACTCCTGGACTAGTAGCCACAATAGTTGCCACGTGAGGAGGGGCCATGGGGCCCAGAGACGTAGGCGGGACATGATAATTACTGGCGCCGTGCATTGAGCAGGAACCAATATGGCAGCCCCTAGAGGCTGGCGTCCCTGACAAGCACGCGCCCCGCCCCGTCCTTTATGACACCTTTATTTACACTACCTTTATTAGGCTTGGGTCCAGATCTGCTCCATGTCACCAGGGCAATCTTATGTCACAATCCCGCCCAAGCCCCCCTTCCCACCCCGCCCCGCCTGAATGGATCTGGACCCCGCCGGAACAGATTTGCTCCATGTCACCAGGGCGATCTTATGTCACAATCCCGCCCAAGCCCACCTTCCCCCCTCTCCTCTCCCCTTAGCTAGGAAGGATTTGGGCTGCAGACCTGGGTGGGTCCCAGGACTCCAGCAGCCTGGTGGGGTGGGGTGGGGTGGGGTGGGGTGGGGTGGAGTGGGGTGGGGACACGGCAGAGCTTCCCAGGGAAGTAACAGGACCTTGCCTCAGGATATTCAGAAGCGCTAGCCCAGTTCTGGCAGCCTGAACTCTTCCTCCTCCAAGGTGAAATCTGAGAATACTCCTCCTTCCAGGGAGAGCAAGTGACCTGCAAAATGTGTGCCAGTTAGGGTGGCAGGCAGAACGCACATTACAGTCACTTATTCCAAAATGTTGCCATTTTCGCTAAACTTTCTATATCTTTTGTTGCATGTTTGATAATTGATTCACGACCCTATTGGGTAGGGGCCGCCAGAGAATAAGCAAGGACTCCAGATTTTCTGTAGGAGGGGTGTTGGAGGTGGGGAATACAGTCTGGGAGAGAAGGCTTCAATCCGAGTGAAGAACCCTTTGCACTAGCCTGGGAGGAGGCTGAACTGTCATCCTGCCTTGACTTACCACATTACCCTAGAAGTTACAGTGCCACCCTTCAGAGGTCTACCCTGTGTGCACACATGGAGAGGAGGCTTAGGTTGTTAAGTCAGCATGTTAAATAAGTTCCTGAAATGCAACTATAAACTAGAACCCAGCTGACTTCCCCCACAGCCATTCTTACCTATATTATTACTGACTGATTGGCATAATTACCAGTGTGTAAACTCCAAGAAGGTGCTTCATCTTACTCCAGTGCCTAGCATAGGCATATGGTGCATAGTGATGGTTTTAAAAATTGAACTGGGGCCAGGCACTGTGACTCACATCTGTAATCCCAGGACTTTGGGAGGCCGAGGTGGGCAGATCACTGAGGTCAGAAGTTCAAGACCAGCCTGACCAACATGGTGAAACTCCATCTCTACTAAAAATACAAAATTAGCCAGGCATGGTGGCACATGCCTGTAATCCCAGCTACTCAGGAGACTAAGGCAGAAG